TTTATAGAATAGTGTATGATCAGCATTACTTTGGATATAGCCTCTTTTGAGCATTGATTGCCTAAAACGATCAAACCAAGCCCTTGGGGATTGCTTCAATCCATATAGAGATCGACATAAAAGAAGCACTTTTCCATTTGTTTTACCTGTTTCAAAGCCGGGTGGTATGTGCATATATACTTCTTCGTGAAGATCACCATGAAGAAAAGCATTTTTTACATCTATTTGATATATTTCCCAATCCAAGTTGATAGCACAAGATATAAGAGTTCTTACCGAATTCATCTTGGCAACAGGTGCAAAGGTCTCATCATAGTCAATCCCATAAGTTTGGGTGTATCCTTTTGCCACAAGACGGGCTTTGTACCTTTCAACCTTCCCTTCAGGTGTGTGTTAAATGGTGAAAACCCACTTGCATCCAACATGTTGCTTACCTTGCGGTAGATCCACAAGCTCTCAAGTTCTATTCTTCTCCAAAGCTCTCATCTCTTCAAGCATTGCCTCCTTCCACTTAGGATCCTCTTTAGCTAATTTCCAGTTAGTGGGTATGGATACAGAATCAAGAGATGCAACAAAACTCTGGAAGGATGGGCTACAACATTTATAGGAGATAAAATTGGAAATGTCATGTTTATAACCAACATAATCTTTAAAACATGCTGGAATATTGGAAGATCTAGTTGACTTTCTTAGGGCTATAGGTAGATCATTTTCAGGAGGAGGTTGAATAGATAGTTGATTATCTCCTCGCTCCAGAGTGCTAGATGGAGCATTAGGACTAAGAGAGTGTGAGTTGGTACCTGGGTCCTCGTGCATAAGAGACTCTATGTTTTGAAAATGCAAAGTACCCTGTATATCTCCATGGCAAGAATTATTACCCCCACTCTCGTTATCGTTATTAATTTCCTCCCCCTGACCATGAACCGAATTATTCCAATAGGAACCAACTGAAGGATGAACAAGAATAGAACTCTCCCCCCTCTTGTTGTCCTTCAGGTGGAGAAAGAGTAATTCCAGTATCATTGGTTGGCTCATAGTAAGGTTCATATTCACGAAATGTCACATCCATACTTATAAAGAAATGATGTTCAGATGGACACCAGCAACAATAACCTTTTTTAGTAGAAGAGTAACCAACAAACACACATTTAACAGCACAAGGGTCAAGTTTTCTAATATCATTTCTGTAGTCATGAACAAAGCAAACACATCCAAAGACCTTCGGAGACACAACAAATTCATTTGAATTCAAAAGTAACTCAGCAAGAGATTTATTGTCAAGAACTCGAAGAGGCATCCGATTAATTAAATATGCTGCAGTCTTCACAGCTTCCTCCAAAGAAACTTAGGAACATTCATTGTAAACATAAGAGAACAAGCAACCTTAAGTAAATGCCTATTTTTCCGTTTAGCAACATTGTTTTGCTCTGGAGTGTTAACACAGGTTGTTTGATGTTCAATACCATTAGAAACAAGGAACTGTTCAAACTTCTGGTTAACATACTCTGTACCATTGTCTGAACGTAAGACCTTAATAGTGTTGCCAAACTTATTTTTAATAAGGGCATACAAATCTTTAAAAACAACAAAAACATCACTTTTATGTTCAACAGATAAAGCCAAGTATATCTACTAAAGCCATCAATAAAAGTCACAAACCATCTATGTCCAGAAATAGAGTACACCTCACATGGTCCCCAAACATCAGAATGAATCACATCAAACAGTTTGTTACTTCTTAATTCCAAACTAGGATAGGGAACTCTTGTATGTTTATCAAACTCACATGCATCACATATAAGAGATTCCCTAGGACATGCATTAAAAAGCGAAGGATAACTACGAGACATAGCAGCAAAAGAGGGGTGTCCAAGCCTGCGGTGAAGTAATAATAATTCTTGACATGGAGACATCTTGGATGCAAAAGCGACTTCATCACTTTCTTCATCAAGATAATAGAGTCCATTATGTACGGTCCCAGTCCCAAGAATTCTCCCTGTCCCTAGCTCCTGAAAAGCACAATGAGAAGGATCAAACCAACCTCTACAGTTGAGGGATTTTGTGATAGAACTAACAGATAATAAGTTAATAGGAAAATTAGGAACGTGCAAAACTAGTGATAAGGATAGGGTTTTGGTGCACCATATAGATCCATGTCCTGTTATAGGAACCATGGATCCATCAGCTACACGCACCTTATCCTTACCTGAACAAGGAATATAGGAAGTGAAAAGATTGGATACTCCTGTCATATGGTTAGTTGCTCCAGAATTAATAATCCAAGGTTTATTTGTATAGGCTTGAACATGTTTTATACCTTGGGAAGTAGTATGGTAACTGGAATTAGTAGAGGAACCTTGAGTGGAAGATGAGCCTTCAGAGAGCTTGAGCTTAGAGTTGTATTTCTCAAGAGCTTGAGCATCTACCACTGGAAGCTCCTTTTCAGATGCTATATGATTAGCTCGATTCTAGTTAGCACCTCGAACTCCCCCTGGTTGAGATTTCCCCCCCCCTTTTTTCCACCCAGGTGGAAAACCATGCAGCTTAAAACACTTCTCTATGGTATGCTCCTTATCTCCACAATGATCACAAATCACCTTGCTAGATGGAAAACCATGTAGTTTAAAGCACCTCTCTATGGTGTGCCCCTTATCACCACAATGATCACAAACCACCTTATTTTTTTCTTGGTCCCCTCGGGGAACAGAAATGTGGCCCTTCTTTATAGATGAGACTTTTCCCTGTGTGCCATTATAAAAGATCGTAATCCCCATGTGCCCTGGAAAAATTCAGCGGTCTTCAAGCGCCACTACTCCAACTTTTGGGTCCTCCATGCCACTTCCGATGGGTTAGAGGCTCATTTAATTCCACAAAAAATATGAGTTTGAAATGATTAATATATGCTTAGAAAAATCATTATTAATTTTTTTGAGCATCTTAACGAAATGAAAATAACTCAAAACTAGAAAGTTGTAGATCTAAATGAGATCTATAATTTTCTATAAAAGTTTTTTCATTTGAAATTGCTCAAAAAAATAATATACATTATTTGATATCTTAGAAAAATCATCATTTTTTTTTTTCACACTGTAGTTTGACTATGTAGTAGAGCCTCAAGTGACGGAAGTGGCATGGAGGACCCAAAAAGTTGAAGTAGTATATCAAGACCATTGAATTTTTCCAGGACATGTAAGGATTATGATCTTTATAATAACATGCTGTAAAAAATCTCTTTATAGATAGGGCAGCACTAGCATCAACTGCTTTATAATCATCCACTTTGGGATGTGATAGTCTAGTTTCCTTTTCTATGATGCTGGAAATTATCTCATCAAGAGTAGGCCATTCGGACTTAGAGAATATAAGCTTGCGACAAAGATCAAATTCTTGATTCAAACCATCAAGAAATAGCTTGCTCACAAAAGACATATTCTACTACACACCTTGAGCCTTTCTTTAAATGAGTCAACTCATGCATGATTCGAGTAGCTTGCATTTTGTTTGATTTTCCTGCAAATTGTCTCTCCAATTCCGACCACACCTCTGCAGGCGTAGTTAAGGTTTCAACTTGTTCTCTGATAATTGGTTCCATGCTGCTTAACATCCATACTAGTACTCTATCACTTATTTGCTTGCTTGCTCTATCAACCTCCCTTGTTTCTTTATCAGAATCGACGAGTAAACACTCATATCTATGGAAGCTTAGAATTAACTTACAATGACGGGCCCAACTGACATAGTTCTCTGGTTCAGATAATTTTACTGGATTAGACTCGAGTGCGTAATTGAAAATATCAGAAGTCACCACCTTAGGCTGCTCCATCAATTTGCTAAATATTTCATAAAGTTTTTCCACGTGATCTACTGATTTCTCTCCACTAGTTTCAGCCATGAGCAGCAGATTCAGTATTTAGCAGCAAAAAAACAACAACCAAGAACCAGCTCCTCCTTGATACAGGAAACAAGCAAGCAGATCACGGTCACCAGCAAGCACGCAGCTTTTCTCTCCGCCGCCGGCAAGCAACCAAGCAAGCACCCGTACCTTGCAGGAATTAGTAGCTCAGTCTTCGTGTTGGCAGAGGCTGTGGCCACAACCTCTGCCACAGAGCTGCTTCTAGTCTGGGTGACTACGACTCCTGTATAAGGATGGCGATGACTACGGCGTCTCCACCACCTCTGCCCCCAATCAATCAACGAAAACGAGATGGACATGACAGGATTAACCCGCTCTTGATACTATATTGTAGATTAATGGGTGGATTTAAGAGGAATTTTGGATATGAGAGAAGAAGGGGAAGAACAGTGAAGTTGGAAACACTGACTGGATCGATCTTCTCGATCCTTCTCAGGTACTCCATCTTATCTCTTTCCTATTTTACATTTTGGTCTTCAATTCTAATTATATTTACAACTCACACCAACAAAAACATGTCAGATGAAAGTATCATTATATGTTTCATCTTCGTAATTTTATCTTGCACTGGCTGGATAAAGGTTGGCTGGTTCTAGACTTCTTTCTTTCCGGTCATTCGTGGAACAACGCACTAATGGTGCACGCGACTACGCGACCTTGCAGACTCCACAGGACGATCAGTGGAATTCAGCCTCGCGATTTGCGTGCGAATACATGCTTTGCCTGTGTTTCAATGGTCCTTGCTCTCGACTGTTTACCTCTGGGAACAGAAAAGAACCACGTTCGTCGTTTCAATTTCCTTCCAGGTTAAATCATTTTTCCTTCATGAACTAACATTGATCAACTCAAGCAGTCAGTAAGACTGATGCAATAGAATTCCTCATCAAAGGCTTGATGACTGTCAAAGCTTGGATATGAAAGGATAGAGCAACATGTTTTTGAGAACGGTAATTTCAGTTCTTCCTCGATCCGGGAAAGAAATTTAGAGAACGGTAATTGCAGCTCTTCCTCGATTGAAGGTTACAAACTGGACAAAATTTTACAAAACCATCCGTAGTTTACAAGACATGATCACAGGCGAGGAAGCTTAAAACGACAGGTTGTCCTCGACGAGGCAGCCGTCGTCGAAGCTCCACAGGCCCATCCCCTCGTCCGCCGCGACGGCGGCGCTGCTGCCCTGCACGGCGTCCGCACTGAACAGGCTGTCCAGGGACTCGTAGGCGCCGCCGTTGAAGTAGGCGAACTGGTCGCCGAAGATGAACGCGTCGAACAGGGCGTCCGACTCGGAGTCGGAGGCCCGGGGCGACGCCTCGTCGTCGGCGCTCTCCAGCTCGGTCCTCTGGCGCTTGCTGGCGCCGCCGCTGCTCTGGTCGGCGGCCTCCAGGGCGGGGTGCGCCGCGGGGGGCTCCACTTCGTACGCCGACACGCCCTGCCACGAGAAGTCCGGGAGCGCGCCGGAGTCGGAGCTCTCGCTGGCCTCGTCCTCCTCGTCGGCGACGAGGTCGACGACCTCGGCGGCGCGGCCGCGCTTGCGGCTGTTCTGGACGGCGTCGGCGGGTGAGGGGAAGTTGAGCTTGGCCCTGGCCCCGCGGATGTCGCGCGCGGCGGCGTCGTAGGCGAGCGCGGCGGCCTCGGCGGAGGGGAAGGTGCCGAGCCAGACGCGGACGCCCTTGACGGGGTCGCGGATCTCGGCCGCCCACTTGCCCCACGGGCGGCGGCGGACGCCCTTGTACTGGGCGGCCTTGCGGCGCCTGCTCGGCGCCGGCGCGGCCAGCTCCTGGCGCTGCTGCCTCCTTAGCTTCGTCGTCGCGGCGGAGGAAGCGCTGAACGCGAACGCCGGCTTGCTCTCCACCTCTTCCTCCTCCTCGTCGAACTCCCGGAAGGCCGCCTCGTAGTCGTCGGCCCTCCGCTGCTGCTTGCCCTTGCTTGCCGCCGGCCAGAGGTGGCCCGGCGTGACGCGGCGCGCCGGCGTGCTCGGTATGAGCTCGGCGAGGATCGCACCACCACACATCTTGCTTTCTCTCTTGGGTTCTTGCCTCTCTGCTCGCTGGTTGTTGAAGCGAGTCACTAGTCGGACGCTAGCTAGCTCTTGTGTTTGGTTTGGAATGGGTGGTCTTGGCTCGATGATGAGGCGCTGTTAAATAGGGGGAGGACGCGCTGGGCTAGGAGGAAGAAGCGGTGGGTCATGGCATGGCGTGGGGGCTCCAAAATTCGCGGGGCGAGGAGAGCAGGGCAGGCAGCTTCATCGCAGCGTGTGAGGGGATAAGGCCGGCCGCCGCGGACACGCAGGGAAGGGCCCGCATGCTCGTGTCCCCTCGTCGCCATCGCTATCTCGGCGGTTGGGCAGGAGGTGCAATGCATCTGCCTCATGCCTTCCTCCCAAGTTGCGTCCGCGCGGAAGCCGCTGTCGCGAGGCGCGGCGGGGGACAGCGACGGCAACGGCCAGCCAGACGTGTAGACCCGGGCGCCCTGGCCCGGCTGGGATCAAGTTGGTCGCGCGTGCCGGCGGTTTTGAGCTTTTCGGCGATGCTCGGCGACGGTCTCCACTCTGCGGCCCACCGTGTTGCCGCTGAGCGACCCGAAGACTCGTCGAGGAGGAGGGCGCGTGCCCGCCACGCACCGGAGCAGGAAGAGAGCCCTTGCCGCTTCGAGCCCGTGGCGAGGCGGCCACACGCGACGCCCCAGAGATGGGTGCCCGCGACAGCGGCGCCAAACCGGAACCACCACCTCCTCCTCCCTTCCGCGCCCCAGTTTGTGGGAAGGCTGTATTGGCAAGTGGCCCAGCTGGGAGCTTATTCTAATCAGGTGTGTTATTGTTAACCACTCCGCTAAACCCCTTGCTAAACTAAGCAAGTGGGCTGAGCTTTAGCGATAAGACCCAAGGATTAGCGCTGATGATGATTTGACAAAGTTAGCAAGTGGGGTGGAGTGGAGGACTGGAGGCCTTCAACTTTTTCAAAGTGTGGCCCGCATAAAAAAAACGAGGAGTATCATCCCCGAACTAAAAGAGTGCCTGTCTTCGGTCTGCAGATAGTACTGTACGTGCACTTGGAATAAACATATCGCCGCAATTTGGGAAATATACAAGTCTTCCGGATGCATCTTCTTGGGTCATGATGTCAATGATCACCGAGCCAAAGTGCCAAACCAGGCACGAGGACGACTGCGGCTTGCCAAAGTTTCTGGAAAAGCGGTATCGGCATTGCGTTGAGGACTAGGACTAGGAGGACGGACCTCACTTTGTCTCCAAGCTGAGCTCAGGCCTCGACAAGCTCAGCGCTAGGCGTAGCCGCGTAGGGAGGGAAGAGAGGTCCACGCAAACTCGAAGCTTATCAACGAGGAATGAAAATGCCAGAATATTGAATAGAATGATTCCAGTGTATTTTTCGCTGTCTGCGTGCCTACGATTTAGCGAGCCAGAGAAATGGGATATGCTCGTGAGGGGAGGCCCGCTGTCTTCAACACTTTTTTTTGTGTGTGTTGTTGGGCCATTCCATGGGCAAGTCAGGCCCTTTTAGTTCTTTTCTCGGCCTGATGAAACGTGTTTATGGAAGGGCCCAACTTTGGGTCAGTTAGTTCACTGAAAGGCCCTTTTCCATTCTTTCGGTCCGTTGCAGCACCTGAGCGGAGCAAACATATGCAGTTCCTGATGAACAACGTCCCAGCCCTCGCCGCCCTGCCCAACCAAAGCGACGCCATCACTCTCGGCTGAGCAGTGGGTACTATCGTAAAAGGTACTCGCTCCGTTCTTAGATATATGACATCGTTGACCTTTTACTCTAAGTTTGACCACCAATGTCTATTTAACGAGCTAGTTAACTAAAGTAAAATGTGTACCATTGTGTCTATTATCAAATGTACTTTAGATTTAACTTGTAAGTTTATCTATTTGCAGAAATATTTGTAGAAAAGACGAATAGTCAAATGAATGAAAAAAGTCAACGGTGTCATATATTTAAGAACGGAGGGAGTAAAAGATGTTCCTGTCTTGGATGGCCTACAAAAGAAAAAGTGTGGAGGAAGTAGTTATCGAAGGCTCGAGTATTTGAGCAGTGGGTAGGAGGGACGAAGCCAGTATTTGAGCAGTGGGTAGGAGGGACCAAGCAAAACCAGATCGTGCAAAGTTCTTTAATGTGAGGGGTGAAAACAATACAGACTCTAATACATAGGCCCTGTTCGGCTTGTTGAAACTTGGCTGAATTGGCTGAAAAACACTGTTCTGGCTAAATTGTTGTGAGAGAAAAATACTATTTCGACTGAAAAAAAAAGCTAAATAGTGCGGATTATAAGGTAAGCCGAACAGGACGGGGGGCATGGCCCCCTGCCAGCCCCTCCTTGGCTCCGTCCCTAGTGGGTAGTACAATAAGCATCTTAGGTGGTTTTTTTACCATAATGATCTTGGACCATAAAGTAGCTTGTAAAATTTGGGAGGGAAATAAGTGTGTCCTTGGATGATCTATTTCCATGGGACCACACGTAGATAATTCCCTGCGTTGCGTTTGCCATGCCAATGACTGAATTTACGGTTGGTCGGTTGCCATGGTTGGAAGGTATTCAGTAGAGCTGCGGTTCGTGTCATGCTCCAGGTTATGCGTAGGGAGGGAACAGAGGTCCACGCAAACTCCAAGCTTATCAGTCGAGGAATGAAACCGCCAGGCAATTGAATAGAATAATTTCAGTGGCAACAAAGCTGTATTTTTCGCTGTCCAGAAAAATGGGATATCCTCGATGAGGCCCGCTCGGATGTCTGTGTTGTTGGGCCCTTCCATTCCATGGGCCTGCCAGGCCTTTTTCTCTGTGTTCCCTTCTCGCGCGGCTGAAACGCGTTTACGGGCCTGTGTCTCTACAAGGGTCGGTCAGACAGCTCACAACGTCGACAGTACTAACCACTGACCTTCAAAGTCGGTTGGTTCGGCTTTTTTTTTTAACTGAAACAGTGTTTTTCTCTTCTAACAATTCAGTCGGAACAGTAATTTTTAGCCAAATTCAGCCAAGTGAACGGGGCCATATATATTTTCTTATAATAAGACAGGATTTGCGACAATGAACGACTATATACTCTCGTGAAAACTTTTTTGGCGCCCGTTGCAACGTTCATGTTAATGTGTATGCCTTTCGCTGGTACTTAAACACGTACTACTGGTAGCCATAACTGTGGAAACAAAGCATACAAGCGAGATTACTCTCTTCACGTCTGCAGGAGCCGGTGGATGCATTGATTTGGGAGGAGATCCGGTATTCTGTGCAGGGGTAGTTTATTTCTCTCGAGGTTCCTTCAGTATGAAATTCTGAATCATCTCGTTCAGAACTTGGATCAGATCCAATATGAACATGGGGGACAGGTGCGGTGGCTTGGGGTGCATGGTGATGACGGCCATACTCTTGATGATCCTGGTTGCATCGCCCGTCCAGTGTAAGTTACATCTCACCATCTTTGTTTCTTTTTTCTCATTTTTTTTTATCACTGATTGAATCTAGATGTATACATACATATTCTGCGCGCTGTTGAACACGTACGTCTTATTGAAGCGGGTCGTCCTCACCTTCTCGAGGTTGGAACTGCAAGGAGCCATGCGTATAGCCTCAGGAAGATGAGCAATAATGCTACAGCGACATTCGATGAGAGCAAGGCGAAGCTGGTATTTTGTGCCAAGATATGGAGTGTGATACGAAGCCGTATGACTGCTACGACGACTGCTGCTGGAACGAGAGGCCAGAATCCCTGTGTTACGACACGATGCGTGAGTGTAGGGCCAAGTGCCCTCATTGCGATCCCGTATGCCCGCCCTAGTGTCGCCCATCCGATCCACATGTAACAACAATAAGATGGTTGCAGTAATAATCCAGCTAGCTCTCTAGATGCGCCTCTTCCCTTTTTGTGTCCGTTTTCGATTCTCTCAAATGTAACGTCTATCTCCTCTTTAGTTTCTTTATATTTTTTCTGGTGATCTGATACACGTCAATCCGATTGTTTGATCAGAACGCACGATAGCATTGAACAGCAATAATCGTTTCATTCTTTCTTCCATTGACTTTTGATCTGCTGCACTCCATGCCGGCTACTGCTAGCGGCACAGTGGAATGATAAACTTGGCATAGTTTTAGGATAGTTTGAGTTAAGAACCAAAGTCAGGGTCACTTATATTTTGGGACGGACGGACGGAGTAGTTAATTGAATATGCCAAATAAAGACATTGCTTCATGAAAAATGTTATGCGCCACAAGCCATGAACCGTATGATGCTGTCTGAGTCTATTATTATTCAGAAGTTGCCTCTTCCTCTGCTTCAAAAAAGAGAAGGAAGTCGTCTTTCCTGGCACCCAGGCCAGAGGTCAACCAGCAGTACCATCCGCTCACTACTGACATCTTTCTTCGATTCGTACTGAAGAAGAAGGCACTCCTAACTTGTAAAATGGAAGAAGGCAACAGAATTTATACAGCGTTTTAACATATGTTTATCATCGTGCGTCGGTTTGCAGTCTCATGAGCCGATTTGCTCCTTGCAACTTAGGCGCCGCAGCAGCGTGCCGCCGGTGGAACGCGTCGCGGCGCTTCCTGATGAGCATTTCGATCTCTCGCCGCTCCTCTTTCGCTATGTGCTGGCACCGGCACTCGGCGCTACAAAACGCTTGCTCTCCTCTGCAAAATTAATTCACCCGAAACCCACATGAGTCACCAACTCACACGGTCGAGCTAGGCTCGAGAGTGAACGAGCGCCTGAGAGATCGAGGAAGGTTATTAGATAGTGGCAGGGATTCTTACTTGTACACGAAGACGTCCATGGTGGCGTCGAGGTTCTTGTGGCAGAAGAAGCAGCGTTTCAAGAACTCGAGCCCGACAAACACCCTGCCGTTCTCGTGGCACTTGCTGGACGCGCCCGTCGCCGCCGCTGGGACCCTCACCGCGGACCTCCGCAGGACCGTCGGCAGCTGTTGTTTCCTCGGCGACGGCTGTATGATGAGGCGGAGCCCGACGAGCTCGCCGGCGGATGAGGCCGCCATTGGCGTCGAG